ACGACGCTCTTCCGATCTCCCCAAAACCCCAAAACCCCTTGAATAAAAATAAACAAGAGTATTCGTTGGATAAACCTGAAACTATTTGTTTAATTTGATTTATATAGGACTTAAAATTTATTTGCAGAATAAAACATTAAATGACTGCCAATGTAGAATTGAGTTATCAAGCTGTGCCAATCCGTGAAATTCTTTACATGTCTAAGGAGGAAAAGCAGATATTTGCTACAAGATTGCAAACTGAACTTTAGGATTTCAGGTAAAGAGAGTAAATGTACATTGAAAAGAGAAAAGAACTCCAGGATTTAGAATTGAAATATCGTAAAAAGGCTGATGCAATGATGGGATTGAATAAAAAGTATCAAGAAAAGTTTGATTTAAACGATGAGATCATTGCTAATCTTAAAGAATAAATAGAGTAATGCTAAAGATAAGCTAATGATGGCGATGATGAAAATAATGACATGCAAGGAAAAATTAATGCTCAACTTGAAAGCATTAGAAACAAAGAGAATGAAATAAGATAACTTAAAGGGAAAATTCAGACAAAGGCAAATGAGGCTGGTGACATCAGACGATTCTTAGATAAATTAGTTACTGACTAGAATAATTTACTTGAGGAGAAGCAAAATGAAGAGAAAGCTATCTAAAAACTTAAGGAAATAAGAGATATGAGAAAGGCTGAGTAAGATGAGTACGCTAGCAAACTAAGGAAACTCAAAAACGATCAATTTAGATAAAATGAAAAGTCTGAATCAATTAATAGAGCTATGGAGGCACAGCAAAATAATAGACAAGGTCTAGAATAAGAATTAATTAGAATGCAAGTTAAACTATAGCAGAGTTAGGAATAATTCAATGACCTTTCTAATGAAAAACAAAAACTAGATAATGTACTTAGATGCCATAATAATGATATTCATCAACTCACGAATCAAAAGAAATTATTTGAGGAAAATAATAGACGCATGGCTACTGGTGTTTCTGACATAAAGAAAAAGGTTGCTGATTTAGACTCATAAATTAAGATGATGCAAGTAGATATATAAAACTTAATGTAAGGTAATCAATACAAAGAGGAAGAGAACTAATAACTTGCAAACGATTTGAAAACTCTTGAATAACATCTGAACCTATTGGAATAATAGAACAAAGAACTTGAATCTGAGCTTGAAAACTTTGTGTAGCAGGATGAGATGGTGAAATCTAAATTAGTAGATAGATCAAGATCAAAAAGCCCTATAAAGCCAAGCAATATCAATAGTAGTTATTATGTAAATAACAATAGCTTTGTGAAATAGCAGCCAAAAAGCCTATAAGGAACTTATTTATAGTAATAAGTACCAGTGAAATAAAATGAATATGCTTTTGAAAATCAAAAAGGAAAGGACTTAGGCTCTGATTCATTCTATAATAATCCCTATAGAAACAACCTTATTAATAGTAGTGCAACAACAAAAGTAGGAACTGCACATAAAGGTGATTACTAAACTCCATTTGATGCAAGCAAGAGAAATTATGATCCTACATCTGACAATAAATCATTCTTTGATAGCATGTAATCATCTTTAGGGTTTAACCAAAACAAGATCTCACATCATCCTCTTAGATTAGGAAATTAGTCAGAGTTTTAGCTATTAAATCAGAGTAGATAATTTGAGAAAGAAAATGATAATAAGTACATTCCAATAAGAGACAAGAGCAGAAGCCCATCAACAGAGTAGTAATACAGAAGAAATAATGTGAAGTTTGCAGATGAGTTTCCATAAACAAAAATATATAGTAATTATAAGGAATCGTCATAGAAATAAGCACCAGAAAGTAGCCATTATTTAAATTCTTAACCCTCAGCTGCACCTGGCAGAACATACAATCTTAATAGCTCATCAAGTCATTAACCATCATTGTAAAGCCAGTCAAAATTAGGTCAAGTAAGCACTCTCCAACCAAGAATCAGAGAGGAAAACAACAATACTGCTTCTAAGCAGAGTCAACTACATTCATCGTAAAGCTCAAACAAGGATCTTCCAATAAATAAAAGTAGTAATTTGTAGCCTTACTAGCTCCAATAGTAATAACCTTTCAGTTTTGCAGGTAGTCAAAATAGCAATAACTATAAAGTTAATAGTTATACGTAAAGTCAAGGTTCTTAAAATAATGTCTATTCTTAATAGAGCTTTTAAAATTCCAACAAATTCGAAGATGATGAAATTCCTTAAAGAGATGAAAATGTTCAAAGAACACAAGGTGGCAGGAAATGGTCTCCACTTAGAGGTTTATTAAGAATGAAATTAGATTAGCAATAAGATTGATTAACTTTTATATTGTAATAAAATAATTTAATTTAATGCACTCATTTTTTCTCATAAGAAAAAAAGAAAAGTCTGAAAAATCAGCAATATATTTTAGGCCTTTAGGACTGTCAAAAAAGTTCATGCAATCATAGAAAAAGAGCAAGCTAGATGATGGTTCTAAAAATCATCCATTTTTAACAAATCAAAGTCCACCTGTTCTTTAAAGGAAAAATACTTCAACGATTATTTGAGAAAACTAGAATAAATGGTAGTTGGAGAAAAGACAGAAAGAAACTCAGAATCAGTATTAGGAAATCTAGAACAACTTATTTTATAAGAGCCACAGATAGAAGTTTCACAGAGGATCAGTAGACAATAGAGAAACAGAAAGTGATTTGAAATCAGAAGTGGATAGCAGTTTACTTTGGGATTTTAAGGAATCATTTAAGAATATAAACCACTAAGTGAAAAGAGATGAAAGTTATGGAGAATTTGGCAGTCAAATATAAAAGTATATTATCTAGAGCTTCAATGAATTGAATCCAGTTCAAGGTAAACTCAGTTATCGAGAACTTTCGATGCCCAGCAATAAAAATCTACACAAGAATATAGTTAAAGATCCTAATACTTAAATTGAGTTACCTGAGATATTAAAAAGGCTGGATACTCCTCTTTTTAATATAAAGAGGAAAAATCTAAAATCAATGCGTTAGAGTCTAGAGAAAAAAGAGGATCGTCCACTTTACAAACTTCTCAAAAAATCAGAAAAAAGACCACCTAGAGTCTTGAATAAGAGCTCTGAAACTAACTTTGGATCGTTTAAGTATGATTCAAATAGGCAGTCTGAATTAGACCTTAATAAACCAATGAGCAGAGAAAACGACAATACAATGAGCCGTATTAAATTTATACAAGATAAATCTGGAGTAGCATTAGGTGATAGTTTGGGATATTTCAAGCCAAAATTTGTGTAAGATGCTGAGTGCTAACCTCCTTTTACAATAGCTTTATCTCCCAGACTACTTAAAATAATAGATTAAAGTGATTCATTAAATGCTTAGAGAGGGAAACAAATGAAGATAAATTATAGGATTCATTGATTTTTTAAGTTCATTCTCTCTTTCATTCGAAATGAATAAGAGAAGTATGTATAAAAAAAGTATAAACTATAAGTAGAAAAAATATTTTTCTTATTTTTCTTTTTATCTATGAAACCTTTCTTGGGGTTTTGGGGTTTTGGGGTTTTGGGG